AACCTCATCTAGTTATATTAACCTTAGAAAGTATACCTTGGTCGTGGGTGCTATAAATTCGGCTATTTCCAAGCAAGAGTCACTTCTGCAGAGTTGTTGATCTGTTTCATATTTTAGAAGGCCAAAAATCGGCAAGATAAAATTAAGTATATTTCTAAGTGTGTTCAGAAAAGGAACCTGGCATATACAATGGAAAATACTGGCAAAATATGTCTCAACTCTCAACTCATTTTTCTATATAAATTTTATTGATATTTATTGATATAATATCTGTTATACAAGACCAAAGTAACAGTTACATTCAGAAATATATTGCATTCATATGTTACAAAAGCTGAAATCTAACAAAGATTTCTTAACTAGCTCTAGCATTCTAAAAAGATATCCTGCCTGAGAAAAAACAGACATATCTAACTTTGTAGAATACATTAAAAAGATAAATAAGGAATATGATATTAAATGAATGTCACATGAACAACACGTATAAGGTGATCCAGAATTTTGTAATTGGATCACCTTCATAATTGTAAATGAATAATGTATGTTGTCTGTCGCCTGAAAGAATGATAAAAGAAATCATTGAAGTATGATTTTTAACTACTTGAATGTGCGCTTACTGATTCTCCAGCTTATTGTTGTCCTTTTGCGCTTGGAATGCCAACTCAGTTTTATCCTACGCATCTTTCTCCCAAGAGATCCTTGACAGTTTGAAGCTCCACAGTGACAATCAACATTGGAGCCAAAACACACAAATCTATGCACAGAAAGCCACATACTGCAATTAGTCTTCTGCTATTCATAAATCAGGAGCAATAAAAAGTGATCAATTTATGGACGAAATTTTGAGATTAAGGGTGAATATAATACAGTATTAGGAGTAGTTAAGATTTCTCATTACTTAATACGGGGAAAAGAATAAATGTGATAACTGGTTGTTGATCCCAAATTTTGAGGTTAATTTCCTCTTTGATAACCAAATCAACATACTGCATAATTGAAGTAGACTTATTCAAGCAGACTCTAGGATCTAAGGAGCAGTATGATGTTGATGTATTCGTAGAAAGGGAGGCTAAGAGAAAAGGGAGGTGGGGACAGAGGATAAGTTACAAACCTCAAAAAAGAGTGTATCTATGTACATAATTTGCTATTTGTGATCAAATGTATAGCAATGATCTCAGCATAACAACAAAAGCCAGATAGGACCAACCATCTCAAAAGCTCCTCTGAGGTAAATCACACTACTCTTCTTTATTTTTTCTTAGTAGGTTTTCAAAGTTGTCTGGGACTTTAAGTAATTGGGTTACAAAGAATTGAGATTATGTTGATCCACCATACCCTAGTTTTAAGGGAATTACCTATCCCAGTTCTCCATCTAAAGGATCATGGAACTAAACAAACAGAATTAAATTGCAAAAATTGATTGAAGGTGCTGCAAAACATATACATTAATAATATTCTGTCAACAACAAGGAAATCCACCTTACCGATAATCATATGTTAATGGTTCTCCAACTTCAATGGATCGCATAGCAAAGATCCCCAAACGCGTCTCTCCATCCAATTCCCTATGAAGAGACTCATTAATCAGATTAAGTAGGCAGCTTTCAGATGTATGGTATGAGTCAAATTTAAAAAGTTCAAAGGGACACAAGTTCAGACTTTCAATGTCCCTGAGCGAATTGAAAGCACATGGTAAATTGTGCGTGTCGAATAAGGAGTATCAGAAGTATGCCAGCATGTGCTAAAGTAAATAATATGAGGTGTGCCTTCGTTCTACTCATACTGTATATATAATAGAGAAACTAAACAATAGGACATAAATAAGTTTACCAACCACTTCTCCATTCTGCAGTTGGGATCACAGCTGTGGTTTACAAAACGCGAAAGATTTCCCTTGTAAGTTGCATCAATGGTAAAGTTCTTCCGAATTTCACACAAATAGAAATTTTCATCTCCTCTCTCTTTCAAACGCCAAAGCCTTTTCTCGCACATGGCGTCATCAATAACTGGATACAGAAGCAATGGTAGTACTTAATTGAGCTTAAGTAGAAAAATGCAGATATAAAGGTGACAGTGTCACCGTGACACCAATGTGTATACATATATATGGCATTATGGCATAAATCTTTATCAGTAAGTATATTTTCAAAGAATGTTTAGGTTATGCCAAAATTCAAAACCTTCATAGTTAGCATATTCAATCAGTCTATACCAAAGCTAGAATGAAAAGGGCATTAAAGGTCAGCCACAAGAACTCGCCATTACTTAAAGCTACAAAATAAGTTTTGAAGGTTAGTTTGGTTCTATACCTTGCACACATATAGCAAACATTAGAAAAGGAAGTTGGAAGCTAATATAGTTTGACTAAGAGTAATATAAGTGGATCAAATATTTGCTACTACAAAAAACTGATATTTGTTTTTCTGTAACATAAAATGAATTGTCCAATCAAACCTTTTTTCCTTAAGAAATATTAAGCTAGGGTTAAGGCAGACCCTGTTACATTACTACAAAGAAAACTCTTATACAACCCTCCTTAAAAATATGATCATTAAAAGGAGGTCCAATTAGTACCGACGAACAAGGTTGTAAGCCTTACAAACAAGATCACATAAATATTAAAAATTATAAAATATCAAAACTTACAGAAAATTTGACTCCATGTTTTCAATTCATTCAGTCTAATGATAACCTACGTTGCAATTCAGCCTTTTTGTATAAAACAATACGCACATTGTAAGGGAATTAACTACTATACAACCACCAGTATATAACTTAGTTGGCAGCAATACGCACTAATGGGCAGAGAGAACTAATGTAGCTCTTGAGTCTTGACCAACCTAACAAAAAAGGGTTTCGAAAGAAAAACTTTGTAAAACGAATTCAAGCACAACAAAACTAAATATACACTTAAATAAAGAT